CACGCACGTGCCGAGGCGCAAGAAAGTCGACATGATCGGAATGTACAACAAGTCGAATGTCATCGGGTAGACGAAGCGCATGAGGATCGGTGCATCTACGAACGACAATATCTTGTCCATCCTACGCCATACTTCCACACGTACGGTAGCGGGACGCGGCATGGACCTGCCGTAGCAAGAGCAGTAGCATGCCCATGCCAACGGCCATCCCAAGGTTCCACGACTAGAACATGTTATGCATTCCAACGTCGACGAACGCACGTACTTCGCGAGTAAAGTTGAGTGAAAACAGAAGGCTGTCGACGATCGGCGGCGTGCCCGAGACCTTGAACGCAATCGAGAGCGGCGCAAAGGTGTAGGTCGGCCACTCGGAGCACATGGCGCAGAGCTTGACGTAGCGCTGGAGCTGGAGCTGCTGGTCCGACCCAAACTTGCGCTGCGAAAGCGCAATCGCGATACCTACGCACATCGTCGTACCCACGCTGCCCCAATCGACCGGAATACCTTGCGCGACTTGGTCGTGGATCGTCGACGCGTTGAGCTGGAGGAACCGGGCGAGAAAGCCGTGGCGCTGGAGCAGTCGGACGCCGTAGCAGAGCCACAGGGTGGCAAAGAGACCAACGGGTGCGACGTTGAGCCACGTGTAGCCGCACGACGCCCAGTGCTCCTTGGCGCATGCCCCGATCGTCGCATTCCAGAAGCAGACGACGGTGGTCATGCACGGACCTCGGCGCGATGCTGAATATATATAGAGTTTAATGTACTGGAAACGGCCATCGCAAACAACTCATATTTGTTGACAATGGTGGTGGAGATTTGTGGAGATTTGCGGTGAATCGAGTTTCGAGACGTATCCAGTTGGGTTGGGTAGGTAGTAACCTTTGTACTAGCTAGCCCTACTACGTTCTAGGAGGGCTCATGGGGGTGCCTCACACCGCCAAGCGTGCGATCCAACTGTACTGTCGAGCGGAAGTGTAGTCTCAACTACGCGAGGCTATTTTGGGTCCTCCGGCGGTGTCCAAGATCGGAATTCTGGACGTTAATGGGTAGCTCTGTATATGGTATCGAGGCCACACGCACACACTATATAGCACTCGACTTCTCACGTCCTGGAGCCATAACTCCCCAGTAACACACGCTGGTATAGGCCAAACATGGCTCATCCAGACATAACACACATTGCAATTATGAGATGACCACAAAAGCTCTGTGGACGTATCGACGTCGGTGCGATCGCTAGTGCCAGCAGTGTCACCTTGCTGGTACTTGGCAACTGAGCTCTGTAGGTTGGCACGTGCAACACGTGATCGAAGAACGTAACTGTGAGAAGCAGCTAAAGAACCGGTTGGCGTCGCTGTAACCGTGATGCAACCGGACCATTCCCTTAAAACAAGGCGCCTATACCTAAAAATCAATCGCAGTCACAACCTGTCAGATTCGATGCGAGAGGACCATCGAGTTTGGGATGTTTGGTCATTTGCTCGAAAATGCGGCAACAGCGACCGACGACGACGGGCGGCCCGCCGCCGCCGGGCTTCAACTTCAAGTACAGCGTGGCATACCTTCATGGGCCTCATGGCCTCTACCTCTAGCTTGGACCATGCGATGGCAGGGCTGCATCTCAGCCATGGCCGCCCCGCGGTAGGGCTCGATGCACACGCTTGGCGACGACGACATGCGTCTACTGTAGCCGCACCACGAGCCGCCAATGAAGCTCGAGGTGGGCATTGTTGTGCAGCCAACGACGACGCCGAACCAGTCCATCCGCGTCGCCGTGACGCTTCCGGCGCAGCTCGTCGAGAAGGAGCTCTCGCTGGTCATGGGGCTCTTCCGCGCCGGCCACGCCAACCAGAATCGGCCCATCTTTCTTCGCTCGCTGCAGTTTGATTTGCGCAAGCGCCTCCCGCTGGTACTTCTACTACCTTGGACCTTGACGACGCGACGAGGACGGCGTAGGTCACGACGCGCCTCCAAGTCAAGGCGCCCAAGACCATTGGCGAGTTTGAGTTTCGCGCGTTCAACGAAGACGCGGGCCCGGACATCATCTTTGCGTCCAGCGGTCCGCTCAAGGTGCTCGTGGACGAAAAGTGCGTCGAAATACGTCGTCGATCCCTGTACCTATGTCTTTTTTCACTAGGTACTGGAGCGAGACGCTCGAGACGCTCGGCCACCGCATCGAAGCCGCCGCCGACGCGCAGGACGTGGGCTTGATCGTCTCGGCCGTCCTCGGGCTGCTTCGTGTAGGCGCCTCTGTCGCGCGCTATGGATCTGACGGCGTTGTAGGTTGTCGAGGTGCTGCCGACGGCCTTTCCTAGCCAAGCCAGCCTCTTTGGCATGCACATGGAGCACCTCCTCAGCCTCGTGTTTGAAGTGCAAACGTACGCCCTCCTAGTTTCAATACTAGAGGTAGAACACGCTCTAGGTGGGACATGGAGAACGAAGAATCGCTCGATGGGTGGCACGGCGCCATCCGCACGCTCCTCCACGTGACCGAAACGAACCGTAAACTGCGCGTGTTCTGTCTTGTCGCTGATTTAGCGGCGCTGGTAGGCTACGTGTGGGAAAGCCTCGTTCCGTCAGTGCAGAAGCTCGTCGCGATGTACCAGTCACGCCTCTATTGCGGGGTCGGTCGATGCATTTCTATCTTGTGAAAATTCCGAATGGTCTGGTGACATGTACTGTAGGTGAGCGACCGGTACTTTGAGACGATTGACGCCAAGCAAGAGTACTGGCAAGCCCATTTGGGTCTGCCCCTCCGCGGTAAGCGCATTCGTATTTGATGGTTCTTGCGTGTTGACGCACGAAGCATAGACAGCGTCGACCCGTGGGCACCGGGGTTTGAACACGCGCTCTCGACCTACTTGGTATTACGACAAGCGCTTTCTCCTTCGAGGTTGGCGCTGATATTGATTTATATGGTGTAGCATGCCAAGACCGAAGCGCTGATCCCCAACGTGGCCGACTTTACAGCGGTGCGCCAAGCGATTTTTGAGCGTGTGGGCGGCGTCGTAAGTGCGCTGAGCTTTCAAGGCCACCGGGTAGGCACTGGATGAGACACTGGATACAACCAACAGCAAATTCATGGAAATAGGTTGGTCTGGATGTCTTTGGGTCGTCCAACAACTTTTTCGGCACGAAGGACAGCGACATGGACATGTGCTTGGTACGTACTTGATAGATTGATACTATGATGGATGCGAAGCGGGTAAATGCAGGTGCTGCCGACCGGCGTCGAGCTCTCGCCGATTCAAAAGCAAGACATGCTCAAGGCGCTAGTCGAGAAGCTCGACCCGGAGCTCTTTTCCGACATTGGTACTAAAAAAACTCTAGTTTTCGCGTCAATGTCAACGAATTCGATTAGATACGGGGCGTCTCACGGCGCGCATCCCGATCGTCATGTTCAAGGACGCGACGTCGGGCATCGACTGCGACATTTGTGGTGCGCCCTTGCATGGTTGAAGTATCAAGTCGTCGACGGTTGAAACTCTAGTGGAAAATGCACTGGCGCTGCGCAACACGCGGCTGCTGCGGACGTATGCCCTTGCCGGTATACATTGTCTTATTTGTTGAGGACAAGTTGTACAACCTGCCGCTGTTAGATCCGCGCGTACGCATTCTGGCCTACTTTATCAAGTATTGGGTCAAGACGCGCGAAATGAACAATGCGGCCCAAGGCACGTTGAGCTCGTACGGCTACCTCCTCTTGCTCATCCACTACCTCCAGGTATCTATCCATATCTATCCACTGGATATGTTCACCTGCCACTCGACTCGCTAGCGCACGAGTCCGCCGGTGCTGCCCGTGCTCCAGACGCTGCCGCCGCAGTGGCAAGGTAGAAAAATTTCGACAAACATATCTTGAAATTGGCGCTAAAATCAATGTAGGGGAAATTTGGTGCCGCTGCTACCGCGACGAGACGGAGACGACAAAGGACCCGAGCGCGACGTGCCCGTACCGCCCGTGCATGCTCAAGGGGCGCGACCAAGCCGACGGCCCGCGCCTGCCAAATGTCGCGTTTGGCGAGGCCGGTACGAACACGCTGCAAACCACAAAAATGGCGACTTCAAATCCCCGTAGAAACCTACTTTTTCGACCCGGTCCACGACGAGCACTGGCACGCGCTGCGCTCGTTTGGCGCGTGGAACCGATCGAGCGTCGGGTCGCTCCTCCTCGGTGCGTGTTTTCGGCTGTCCTCGTCGAATTGAAAGATTGATATTTTTGTCGATGACTAGGGTTTTTCAAGTACTATGGCGACGTGGGCTTTGATTACGCCCACCACGTGGTCTCGGTGCGCATGGGCCGGTAAACACGCCATCGTCTTGCCGTGCATGTGACGGTCACGTGGCGTAGGACGCTGCTCAAGGCCGAGAAGCCGCAGTGGAAGCAGCACCACCGTCTCGCGATTGAGGATCCGTTTGAGCTCGACTATGACGTGGCGCACGTCGTAAAGGGTGCGCGGTATGCCTATGTGTTGCCGTGTTTATCGCGGATTTGTTTGGATTTTCAAGGATTTGTCGCGTAGCTTCAAGTATGTCCGGCAGCAGCTCGCGCGTGCGTACTGGCTGTGCGTGCAGGCCAACATGGAAGGCTACGGCATGGAAGAGATCATGGACATTCTCTGTGCGCCCATCGTGCACAAGGACAAGGCTAGCGACAACGAGCCCGCGTCGACCGACAAGTAGCTAGTGTACAGAACCAGCATGTAGCACCCAAACACACGCTCCGAGTTGTTCTCAAGACCATAAAAGTGTACTTTGAATATGATCCTGTGACTTTTAGTCAATCCATTGCACACCAGTACAGCTACTGACGTATTGGGGACTATCGAAGGCTTGGACGGATTGGACCGTTTTCAAGAAGCGTAAGAGGTGCCCTTCGCGCGATGGAACGAGCTGACACGAACACCAGAAGAGTAGAAGAACAGAAGATCAAGCAGCCCTAAGAGAATGAAACCCACACAAGCCATTCCACAAATGGCAGGCCGTAGCGAGATAGCCAAGCCTCCTCGCCCACCTCTGGGCAGGTAGGGCACCGATACACATCCGACGCCGCTCATCTGGTCGTCTTTGTTTTTGAAGAAAGATGGGCGAGGAGGAGCATCGAACATTGCAAGCTTAGTCTACTATTTAGCTTGGTACTACTGACCGTACGCCTGAAGGCAGCTCGAGATGATAGGTGCGCGGCGCTAAAACTTGGGTTCCTACCCATCTACGAGCATCTCCCGACGCCGAATTGATGTATTCGGTGATTCAAGGGATCGAAACCACTCGAACGACTGAGGTGTAGTTTCTTTATACGGATAGTGGGCGATGTGATCGGAGACGCTATTCAGAGGAGCTACATATCAAGGGTCAAGAAACCGTTTATTGGTCCTTCTATGTATCAGCAGACCAGAAAATCTGACGACTCCGTTGCCGCGCTGACCCGCAGGCGTGGTAAGATTTGGGCGTCGATCCCTTGTGATGCGTGCGGGGATAGTAGTATCAGGAGGATAAACCATAGGGATATTTATTTATGGCCACGCAACGTCTCGAATGGAAATTGTATTTTGGTCATGACACTCATTTCGGCGTCAACGGACGCAAAAGTTTCGAGCCGACGCGTCTTTTCCCCGGCCGCCGAGCGATTGTGCGGCCAGTATACACAAGGATTTGCCTTGGGAGGGTTTATGGGTCCCGGCAGCATGTGTCTTTGGAGTACCACGGTTCAAGTTGGCATTTGGACAGGACAGGACAGCTGCCGACGACCGCAACGATCCAACGCATGGATCCAACGCGTACCCATGAATCCAGCTGTGCTGTACTGCACTTTTGTGTGGAGCAATCCCACAACGTGATGACCTCGAATCGCTTCAAGGGTCGTGGAAGGTTAAGCATGATGTTCGATCAAGTCGTCCCCTCAACGAGTAGCTCGCACCATTCCTTCCCTGGGGCACGGCCCCTCGCACGCGGATGCGACCTTTCCGAACGCAGTGTAATGCGAAGAAGAAGAACAAGAAAATGACTGGAAACGTACCGGTAGCATATCTCTGGCGACCACGCAGTAGCTCCGTCGGACCCCAACATCCTTGCATTTGACCGCTCTCTTTTGCCATGGAAGCCTTGACTCCTTTCAGCAGCGCGTCGGTTGGTGCAAACTAATTGCTGGCAAGTAATGAAATGCTACGGTACATTTCTCGCCGTTGGACACCAGAAAGGCATGACATGACGGCGTGATGATGTGTGATTCGATGTTTCAAAGAGCGTTTCAATCAACTTTTTGAGGCGCTTTTAAAATTGATTTTGGTATTTCTATTGGGCATGCCATCTCTATGCCAAGGCGAAGGAAAATGAGGCGGTCGAAACAGCAAAACTTGATTTTTGTATATAATAAAGCTAAAAATACACGTTTTATTCTTCGAACCGTGTGGAACAATTCAATATCGCTCTACCTGGTTCATGGGTGGATTGTGTCTACTACGACACCCGTCTCTATTTCCTTGGCTTCGCCCGACGGTCGCCACACGCCAGATGTTTGTCGATTGAAAGCGGCTTGCTGAATACTTCAATCAAGAGCTTGCATTTCTCCACGCTTGCTTCGATTGTGCGAGCGAACGACGCGAGCAGCAGCAGGCCATTCATTGTCGTGCCTCGAGTTTCTTTTCCGATTACCAGTAAAGATATGCGTGTGACACGTTTCCACTTACTGCGTCCAGCGGCTACAGTAATCGAATCACCCATTTTCCTCGAAGGTGTGGCGCGTACGACGATATTCCAACCCAGGGGGTGGAATGCCCACATCCGTTCGATCCGGCGACCAGCTAGCAGAATCGAACCTGTTCGTATACGGTGCCAGAGAAAATTGACCGTCGTTTCCACTGCAGCCCAATCCAACCCGATCTCCTAAACTCAATTGCCATCAAGAGCCACCTCGATGATGGTTGGTTCTTCCACAGTCGTCATGGCGAGCCAGATGCAGTCGGACGGTGGTGCTGGGGAGGCCGCGGTACGGTACGGCGATGCAGCTTTTGTACTGCCTGATAGGCGTCCTGCCTCCACGACGTTCGATTCGATGGTACAATAGTTGTTGACGAGGCATGCACTGCATATTCATACCAAGTCTATCAGTACACTGTAAAGTACACTGTACGAGTGGATGCACGGCGTCGTTGGTTGCCACAAAATTTGGCGGCGACCGATCGCTGCAGCCATCCGTTGGGTGCAGCCGTGCGAAGCGGCGATCGGGTCGGACTGTACTGTACGACGACAGCATTAGTACTGTACGACGATAGCATTAACGACACTGTCTTCGTCTTGTACTCGTCGTTTGTGGACACGTTGTCTGCCTCGACCCTCCAGCGTCGCCTGTTGCAGTGTGACTCGCAAGCCGACACGGTGCTACTACAGTCACACGGTTCAACCGGTCCGCACGGTTTGTGGCCAGCCGCCGTATGACACCTCTGCGATCTTTTGTCGCGCGACAGGCGGTCAGCCGGCGCGGGTGGGAATGGCACCGGTGCGTCGTTGCGCTCTCTCGTTCATTTTCACATTCGCCGCCGACCACACCGATGGCCTATCCACCGACGACGGCGCCTCCGATGCGCCACGACGACGACGACGACGTCGTTCGCAGCCCGGTCGCTGCCGAGCACTACGAGGTCAAGACGCCCCGCGACGACAGCCAGAGCACGGTCAGCGTGCTTGTCGACGCACCGCCACCGGCGCCACCGGCGCCCACCCACTCGCTCTCGTACCGGCCCGACATTGACGGTCTCCGCGCCCTCGCCGTGATCCCGGTCGTGGTGTTTCACGCGTATCCCACGAGCATTCCCGGCGGCTTTACCGGCGTCGACATTTTTTTGTCATTTCCGGGTACCTCATTTCCGGCATCCTCTTCAAGGAGACGCGCCAAGGCAAGTTTACGTACGCCAACTTTTACAGCCGGCGCATCCGGCGCATTTTTCCGGGGTTGATCCTCGTGCTCACATTTACGATCGTCGCCGGGTGTCTCTGGTACCTCGAGGAGGCGCTCGTGAGCATGGCCAAGACGCTCGCGGCCGGCACGGTCTTTGGCGCCAACATTCAAGTGCTCTTGCTCAAGCAAACGTATTTTTCGTCGAGCGTCAAGGAAGACCCGCTCCTGCATCTCTGGTCGCTCGGCGTCGAAGAGCAATTCTACATCTTTTGGCCGTTCGTCGTTGCGCTCCTGGCCAAGCTCCCGGCCAAGGCCGCAGTGGCCGGCCAGGTGGTCATTTTGGTCGCGAGCTTCGCGCTCAACATTTCGATGCTCGGCTACGACGGCAACAACAACTGGTCGTTCTACTTTCCATTCTGCCGGTTCTGGCAAATGGCCATGGGCGGTCTCCTCGCCTACATGAGCCTCGACCCGTCCGTGCCTCGCCTCTCGTCGGTGTCGCCGGTCGGTGCGACGGCGGTCGGCGCGGTTGGCTTGGCGCTCATTGTCGTCGGTTTTGTGTGCATTGACGAATCGATGGCCTTTCCCGGGTATTGGTCGCTGCTCCCGACGGTCGGCGCCGCCCTCTTGATCCTCTCCGGACCTGACACGCCGCTCCACCGATGGACGCTCTCGCTGCGCCCGGCCATCTTTATTGGTCACATCAGCTACGCGCTGTACCTCTGGCACTGGCCGCTGCTCGTTTACGCCAAGGCTCGCTTTCCCAATGACGCGCTTCGCCCGTGGTTCCAGTCGCCGTACATGATGATGGTCTACTCGGTCGCCGCGAGTGTGTTCACCTTGTATGGCGTCGAGAATCTTCTGCGCCGCCGCAAGCACAAGCTCGTCGTGCCATGCCTCTCGCTCTGCATGGTGATTCTCTTCGTGCTGGGGCTCGTCATGACGCACTATCCCACGACGTTTTCGGTGCTGTCGCAGCCCAAGCCGATCTCGTCCGGTCCGATTCTGACGCCGGTCGCGACACACACCAATGGCACCGCAGCCGAAGTGCCCAACATGAGCAAGCCGCCCATGTACGAATCGCCGACTGTCGCCAAGATCCTGGCCGCCAAAGGCGACTTCCAGCCGGACGGACCGGAATTTCACACGGTCGACGCTGGATCGCCGTACATCCCGACGTCGGAAAACATGATTTTGAACATGGGCCAAAAAGACAATCTTGTGATCGTTTTTGGCGACTCGCATGGCCACATGCTCAAGCCGCGCTTCTCGTACCTCTACCGCCAAGCCGTCAACAAGTCGGCGCCGTTCCCGACCATTGTCTTCAAGACGCGCAACGGCACGCCACCGCTTGGATGCACCCCGGGGCACGCCGACGTGGTCGCGATGATCAAGCAGGTCAAGCCCAAGGCGGTCTTTTACGCGACCGACTGGCCGCAGTGGATTCGCCCGAACGCGGGCGCGGCCGACCACGGCACCGCGCCGCAGTGCTGCACCCCGGGGTACGTCGACGCGTGCAACAACCAGAGCCCCAAGGACGCCAAGCAGCTCCTTGCGACCTTCCAGAGCGAACTCGCTGCGTTCACGGCCCTCGGCATCAAGGTTTTTGTCGCGACGTTGAACCCGGAAGGCCCCGCGTTCAACTTTGCCAACATGCTGAATGGCAACAGCGTCGGTGCGGTCGCGCCCGTGAGCAAGTCGGCGTACAAGGCCGCGCACGCCGAGCTGATTGCGATGGTCGAAGGCGCGGTCAAGGCCGTGAATGGAACCATCATTGACTACACCGACAACCAGTGCTGGAAGGACGACTGCAACGTCGTCTCGAACGTCGGCGAGCCACTCATGCGCGACAACGATCACTTTCGCCCGGCGTACGTGGCGAGCTACCTCTCGGTCGTCGACCAAGTCGCCATCGCAGGCCTCAGCAACGCGACGTCGGTCAAGAACTGGTAGAGCGTTTTTCACTATTTAGATATTCTTTATGAAATAATTTCGTTTCAAATGGCAAAGTGCCGTTCAATTGGGCCGCTAACGTTTACTGGCCCATGCTCTATTGAGAAATAATATCCTGTGAAATCAAATACGAACCACGGAGATAGGATGGCGAAGGGTACTGCATTGCATTCTATTGCGTCG